GCCCTGACCCAGGCAGGGACACCTTCCACGAGAGCAGGTTGCTCCAAGCCCCTGTGTCCAACCTGCCCTTGAACACTGCCAGGGATGGGGCAGCCACAGCTTCTCTGGGCACCCTGTGCCAGCGCCTCAGCACCCTCACAGGGAAGAGCTTCTGCCTAATGTAGTAATGTTGCCTGAAAACCCCCTAAACTGAGCATAATTCCTTGAGTCTTTCTTGAAGGATAATTTCAAATTATCTCTTGTCTAGTAACTTCTGCAGTGTGTTGTGTTCCATGAGAGTCAGCATATTGGCCTCCTTCAGTAAGTCAGAGTTGACTGGCCATGATGGTCAAAAACAAATCACAGCTGCTCCCTACTTCCTTGTGGCCATCAGCTTGGCATGTTTTTCACTTGCAAAGCCAGGAAAAACAAGCTGGTTGCTGAACTCCTTAATTTCAGACAGGACATCCAGCTGAGGTTTGTGGATCCCTGTGGTGCAGCTTTTGGAAGATGCTTCAGTTGGCGGAGCTGTGCAACTGTATGATCAGTGTCTGTTAAACAGACGATCTTGGTTCCTTATGTGGTGGAACAAATCAAATCCCATTTTGATAAAGAAAAAACAATCCAGCTCTCAGATGGAGGAGCAAAGAGTGTAGGAAATGGCTTGACTCCCAGGACACTGTTCCTAATAAAACCAGCTCTGAAGAGCACGCACTGGTTTATGGTGAACAAAGTCAGTGTGAACACCTCCTGGGATCAGGGATAGAATGTGATTTTTAGATCCTCTGAGGGTGTGTGAGTAGGAAGTAGCAGACAGGAGAGGCATTCATGACTTTACTGATGAGTGGAGTGTTTCCCATATTGCTTATTCCCCCTTCTCTACACTTTAAACCAAGGATGTGATGAAACCAAAGCAGAAATGCTGCCAAAGTCATCAGAAAGTAGAGAAAGGGATTTGTGGTGAGATGTGAAGGGTTTCTGATCTTAAGAGAAAGAAGATTTAGAGGTGCCTTTTAGTGACAGTGAAGGAGAATCTCTGTAGGGTGATGATACCTATGAAAGGATAGGGGGAGATGGTGGTAGCACTGGAGAGGGACAAGCGTAAAGCAGAGCAGAGAATGGCACCGACGTGGGGAGTGAACACTGGAGTGATCGATCAAAGGCAGTGGTGGAGTCTCCATCTCTTGGCTTCTTCCTGGGCAGGATGCCTTTCTGGAAGGCAGTCAAATGCAAGTTTAGGTCTAAGGAAAACATGAGTTATTGATGGTCATGGAAGAGAGTTCTGGGGCTGAAGTTATTTAGGAGTTGAAGTCGGATGTAAGTTGTCTGTCTTTTATCTTAAATCTGTCAAGTTTGGTCAGTGGGTTCCAAAATGTTGGGGGGAGCCTCATGTTCTTGCCTTCCCCTCTATGGTATAAAAATGTATCCTTTGCTTTACTGAACTGCACAATTTCTTACCAAAACCAGCCGAAATTATGCATTGCAACCTTCCTTTCACAAAACTGGAAGTGGCATTTGAATGATGGCAGTGATGTTGTTCCATCACTAACACTGAGCTCTTCTACTGTCACCTACGCAGTGAGTGGGTATGGAGTGTGTCCTATCCATGTTCATCACAACAAACTGCATTCACATCCACCAATGGACAGCAAATTTCTGGCACTCCCAATTATTTTTAATAAGCCACAGTTGTGTTTTATGGATGCTGAAATCATCCTAAAAAGTGTTCCATGCGGTCTGTTTCATTCTGCTGGAGCAGAATGGTGTCGGTGTAGCAGGCATATTGTCAGTGGCAATCCAGTTAACAAATCCCATGAGTAATATAGAATCCCTGCTATCCTACAGCTGCTAAAGAAATGGTATAACCTAACAGCCTACTTGATTTGAAGGTGTTCCTGAAAAATGAACCTATTTGATTTTGAAGCAGTGATTAACCTTTAAAACATAGAGTGCAATTAAAGGCATCGACGGTGGTTTTGCATCTTAAGCAAGAAAAAGCAAACACTTTGTACCAATGGTAGGATTTTCCAGTTTTAATCATGATTTTGTTTCAGTTTATCCTGATTTTTTTAAACTATTTTTACAGTGAGTTTGTCTTTCTTGGAGAAAACAAGTGCTACCCACAGGAATAGCGTTTCCTAATAGCTCTAAACCCAAGAACGTAACTGCCGCTTAATGGAAATCATACGGACTCAGAAAATAGCAAGTCATAGAAAATCACTGGAGTATTTATTGACTAAAAATCATTATTTACGCATGAGATGGGAGAGGTGCATATAGCAAATCAGTGTATGAAGTGCACGGTATTGTCAGTGAACTCGGCAAAGCGACGTTATGTGCCACGTGGAAGGTAAAGGTGCATTTAACCTCCTACCTGCGCTTTGTAAGATCTCCTAAGTTAGGGTGAGAATAGCTTTGTCAGACACGTGGAACTAAAAGCTCTAAAGAATGAGGGGTTTCCTTTCAGTGTCTATCTGACCTGAGCCAGAGTGATTCTAAATGTAATACAATGTGATGCGTTTTCCACACTTGCAAAAAGGTTTTATTACAAATGCCGTGGGATGGTAGGACAGGACCCGAGATGTCATTGATTAAAGCAAGGCTCTAGATGGATGTTGGCTTTCCCAGTCTTAAAAACATGTATAAAACTAAAAATCTGCAACTTGTTAAGAAAATAACCTGCCCATGTACAGAACACACTGTGAGAACTTCCACTTTGAGCTCTTTGTGTGCTTCGCCAGTGACTTCTCCTCTGCCCTTTGAAGGGGTTGCAGAACATGGGTCTCTCTGTGAGTCAGTAACATAAAACCAGTTCACTTTTGTGTCACACCAGAACATTTAGAACAGGTTTATGGGGAAAAGCTACTGATTCAGTGGCACTTCTGATCTATAAGTGATTGCCACTGAGAGATGCATTGATTTGATTAAAAAAACTCCAAACTAGGTGTGTTTGCATGGATGAGTTCATGAAATCTTAACACTATTTAAAAATAAGACTGAATATTGTTATATTTTTATGTCCATATTTGCTATTTCTTTCTGTTTAGGAAAAAATATATTCTTTTTAGGAAATATTTGGGGTTCTAAACATGTTGGATGAGCTGTTGTGTAAACTCTTGAATATTTTCAGTTATAAACAATATAAAGTACATGAAACACATATTTTTTTCCATGTGGAAACAATTGCACTTCCATCCTGGTCCACAGGATCCCCTTCCTAATCCTTCAGCTTTCACAAAAATATGTGGGGATTTTGGTTGCTATGTACAAGAACTTGTAGCCCTCTTGAAGGTTACCTGCAAAGGTGCCTTTATTCCATTAAAGCATGCTGAGATTAACTTGGAGCTGGACATAGGCTGCTTCTGCGCTTCTTTTCCCATTTTAACTTCCTTCTCTTTGCTGTGGGGGAAAAGCAAGTGATATTCCTTAATGGATTTGACGCTGAGCTAAGAGGAGAAATAGTGTGAACCAAAACGCCTCAATGTTTTAGTATGTGCAAACTCTTCTGCTCATGATTATGTTTCTTCCACCTAAAGACTGAAAGAGTTTGTGTCTTAGTGATGCTGCAGGGGATGTGGTTTCAATCCAATTCTTAGTAAACCAGTTTGGCACATGACACTGTGACTCAAATGGTCTGAAATCCTTAAACATACAGAAGATGAGAAGATTCCCACTCCCTGGCCACTTCTAGAGAATTTTTTTCCACAGATGGAAGTTTTTCCATAATTCTAGATGGGATTTCAATGACAGTAGCAAATATTTAGTGGGAAAAGTTGTGGTTTGTAATTCAGAGCAAAATTTGAAGTGTAATTTTAAGGAAAAATCCACCCAAACTAGGAAGAAGATGGATTCCCATCTCTTCCCTAAGTGTGTTCATTAGCAAATACAGTTAATGGATTGAGAGATAAATTATGCTGCACTGGAAAACCCATCTGAGAAGCTCAGTAAATAAACAGCATCTAAAATCTACGGCTCCTTCCAAACTGGCTCCAAAGCATGATGCAGACTATAAATTTTCTGGTGCCTTCTGCAATGTTGTAGAGGTTTTCCAAAGGCTGCATTACAAAAAGGTACTGAATTAGGGCAAGTGCCAACAATCTGTAGAGCTTTTGGTTGTTCTCTCTGTGGGGTTGGGTTTGTTAATGTGTCAGAATGTGTCATTTAGACCTTTTCGGGTACCAAAAGAAGTGGGATCTAGGACAGATGATTGTCCTGTAGCCACGACCCTGTCAGCGTGATGTGGTTAAAGGCTTCTCCTGACCTTGGGAGGTTTCTGGCTGCTCACCCCTTGAAGATGAGCAGCAAACGTGTTCCTCTGGTGATAAGGACAGAGCTAAGTAAGAAATGATGGCGCGTTGTCGAGATGTGGTACCTTGGTTGAAGTCTACATCGCATGAAGGCAGATATACACATAGTCACATCTTAGAGACTATTCGTGGTCTTGGACCACATGAAAAATTGTGCTTTGTCCAGGATATATGTGCTGAAAACTGCACTCCCCGATCAACATGGATTTGTAAAACTGAAGACCACTGCAAACATAAGGCTTGCTTTGTTTTTTTTCCTCCCCTTGTTGTTGTTGTTGTTGTTGTTGTTTAAAGACAATAAACCAAACCCCCAAAAGGCTTGAAAACAACAGTGATATTGAGCTGTGTACAGGATGACAGCCTACGATTTACCAGGTTAGAACGTGACGCTTTCAGATCTAAGGAGAAGGGGAGGAATAGTTTTACTTTCCATCTTTGTACAAATTTCAATTCAGGTTTTACATCCCACATTGGTGAACTGCAAATCAAAGTTGGCAAGGGATTAGGCAAGGGGTTCTCTTAACACCTTGCTTCTGGACAGGAGTTTATAGGTACAAAGGCCTTTTTGGTACATAGGGTGAGAACTGGATGTCACCACAACGGTCAGAACCACGTTGGCCAGTAACTGCTCAGTCTACCACGATCCTGTTATCAAGGATTGATAGAACTCCAAGTGTTTTTCAAAGAAGGCCTGGAACTCCACATGGACTTGGGTTAAAGGAACCAGAGTTTCCATCTTCCATGCTTTTTTGATTCAGTTTTGGATTTTTGCTTGGGAGTGGAGGAGTAGCTCTCCTGAGAATAAGGCAAAGGTGCAACCTGAGTTTCCTCAATAGGATGAAGTTTTCTCAGAACTGGCTGTAGTTTATCTTCTTGCTGTTTAAAATCCAGTTCCACGCTAAAAATGGGAAGACAAAAGCAATTACTCATTAGGATGACAGAAAGAGTGCAATTAAACCAACATGTGATGCTGAATTTATGAAATTCAAATGGAAAATAAATGTCTAAAATCGCATCTCCACACTTTTTGCACCACAAGTGAAAGGGGAAAGAGGAAGGTGAAGAAAAGGACATACTGCAAAAGAGAAATGGAAATGGGATAGTGTGAAGTTCTCCCTGCTGTTTAGGGGGGGCTATGAGGATTATGGTAGAAGTGCTGTGAAGTGATTGAAAACTACAAATACTCCTTGTCCCTCTCATTTGTGTGGTGAAATGCTCTTTGAGGGTTCCCAGGCTTGGTTCTCCCCCATCTGCATGGCATGGGAGGTTGGGGAGGCAGCCAGGCACCCCAACCCAGACTGCTGAGACTAAAACATCTAATGATGTAGGTCCATTTCCTTAGCTGACTGTATCATAGAATCCCAGACTGGTTTGTGTTGGAAGGGACCTTAAAGCTCATCCAGCTTCAACCCCCTGCCAAGGGCAGGGACACCTTCCACTAGAGCAGGTTGCTCCAAGCCCCGTCCAACCCTTATTTCAACATTTGTCCTACAGATTGTTTCGAGTTTACCTTCTAAAACAAAGGAGCCACGTTATAAACCTCAGCAAAAGGGTAATACTGTCCCAAAACCAAATCCTGGCTGCTTAGAAATACCCTGAAACAGCATGGGTTTGGTTGTGCTAAAATGGGGGTATATCAGTTGATTGTGAACTCCCCACCACATAAATGCTTTCGTAGTACAACAAAAGAATCTCAGGATGAAGGTGACTCTTCTTTAAGAGGTCTCTAAATCTCATTTTAAAGTGACATGTAAATCTGGACAGAAATTACATGGCATATATTATAGTAGGTTTGTATAAAATTGCGGGGAAAGAAAAAGGCATTTCAGCTCTGGCACAGTTCATTTTTACTTTCAGAGTGTGATTCTTACAGGGGAGCTCTCTGAAGAAGTACTTGATGTAAAAGATGAATTGTTTTTATAGAACCTTGCTGAAGAGAGTAACGTCTTTCATAATCAATTCCTATTTAAGATAGATCTTAAGAGAAAAAACATCTTAGTTCTAGTCCATATGACAGAACCCATGTTATTATCATCTTCTACTGTATAAACCCATTTTCAGCAGTTCAGACTCATCTATTTACAGCCAAATGGAATATTTTGCCTCTGAAAATGATGAATGAAAACATCAATTAGTTCAGCATTTAGAACTGTACATTCTGCAGAAGAATTGATTCTTGTCTATCAAGATGCATTTATCCAGCTTTGTAGCATACCTGCTCCTTTCAGGCAAGCGGTTTGTTTGCAAACTTAGGTTTTAGTCTTTGTGCTGCAAAAAGAAGGCAAAACCCTACTTACTTTGTAGTTTTCCACATATCCTCCTAAATTATCTATAGCTGGCTTTATTTTTGGTCTTCGTATCAAGTATATGAAATACTATTAAAGTCAGCAAGCGTTATGTATTTGTATGACTTCCTTATGTCTCGTTACAGACCTGCAGATCTTTCCACTTCCTGCATTCATGACCTTGATTTTGTCACGTATCACAGCTCTGACAGTTCTGTTTTGCTCAGTGCTGGGTTTGTACCCAAAGTATCGACAGGTTTCCTCTCAAAATGACCTCTTCCTGAAATACTCTTTGTGCCATGTGGCGCTCTCCACTTACAAATTTGGTCTGGTTTTGACTCTTCTTTAAGCCTCCCCCATAATAACTCCCTGTACTTACACATTCACAACTTCCTTGGGCAACCTGTTCCAGTACCTCACCACACTAAAGGCTTCCTTATACCAACATAAATCTCCCGTTTCAGTTTAAACCCATCACCCCTTGTCCTATTGCTGCAGTCCCTGATGAAGAGCCCCTCTCCAGTATCCATGTAGCCCCCTTCAGACACTGGAAGCTGCTCTGAGGTCTCCAGCAGCTTCTCTTCTGTCTTTGTATGGGAGCTGCTCCAGCCCCTGATCATCCTCATGGCCTCCTCCGGACTTGCTCCAACAGCTCCATGTCCTTCTTATGTTTGGGACACCAGAAGTGCATACAATACTCCAAGTGAGGTCTCACAAGAGCAGAGCAGAGGGGCAAGGTGGATGCCTTGGACACCTCACTGAAGGTGTGCACACAAGGTGGCCAACTTGCTCAAGCTGCTTTTCTCTGGTTTATCCCATTTTCTAAATCCTATCACTGTGGATTAGGGATTGCTGTGGAGGATTTTCTGCTGTTGGCTTGGACAAACTGCCCAAGCTTGTGAAGCTTTGTTTAGGCTGGGGATAGTGGAAAAAGAAGGAAGAGAGGATTACAAGAGTTTGAGACAGGTCTTCCAAAACTGTCATCTTACTTGTTAAAGCTCCTGCTGGATTCCTTGGCTTGGAAGAGGTTTAATTTCTTTATTTTCTTAGGAATATATGTAGTAATTCGCTATATTCAGAGCCAGTTTGGAACACTTCAGCCTGCAGTAGCTGACCTAACTTATTTTAATGATTTAGAGAATAGATGAGCTTATGTTTTGCGTGCTGGCAGCAGAATGAACTTTCCCTAATCCTGTTGCTGTATAAGGGATTGAAAACAGAGCTTGAGGAGTCATAACCATTTGGGTTGAAGCATATGGACTGTGGGTGGGTATCTAGCAACAAGTTTAGAAATATGGATGGGTTTTCTTCTTTATGCCACAGTCACAAGTTATTAACGTGAATCATTCTAAGCCTATTAGATGCTAATGAGAGGATATGTTGGTTATTTGCAAGATGGACAAATTCAGCTTCAGGACTGGGTTGTTGAGGGCTTTATCTGCTTTCCTCTTGAAACCTCCAAGGATGGAGCCCTCTGTATTCTGCCTTAAGGGAAAACCTTTCTCCTCCTACTTGACCTGAACCTTTCTCATCTTACTCACACCCCTTTCTGTTCACCTTTTTATTGCCTAGTTTGTATTATTAAGGCCCAAATCCTCCAAGTGTTTATAGAACAGTCTAACTCTTTGCACTGCAGTCAGCTAGGTAAACCAGGAATTAAAGAATATCATAGTGTCTCCTGGATAGCACTAACTGGATGAAAAAAATCCAAGATAAGTACTAATCACTCAGAAAATTAGTTTAATACATTTCTGAGCCATCTCTGTTGAATTTCCTATTTCAACCTGCAGATCCCAGATATCCAGGGTCCAAAGCAGCTGGTGTTAGCAAGCCATTAAGATCCATTTTTACTGCTAAGCATCTTAGTCTAGAGATAAGATGAGAGAGAATGTAAATTAATTAATGTGGGCAGGAAATAAAAGATGACATTACTGTTCTTATCATGTAGGTACCTGATGTTGCTATCCTGATGCTATCTCAGGGATTGATATCTACTCGTCTTATTTCCACTCTGTATTGCCATATTTATGAATTTTAATAATTATCACTATATCTAACCTTTACAAGTGAACTACTTCCATGTGGGCTTGTGCTGCCTAATTAACTTGTGATTGTAATCCTGTTTCATTTGCCACTGTTGTATTGAGAGTTACGTGTCAGAGATTCTGATAATGTATGTTCTGTTGAGTACCTGGAGTGCATCTTAAAGTAACTTCAATATCAAAGACAAAACTGAATATTGAAAACCAGCATAATCCAAAATTTCAAAGGAGTAAAAAGTAGCTAAATTAATGGTTGATGCAGCCCCAAAACTCCTCCATCCCTGGGCAGTGTTCAAGGCCAGGTTGGACACAGGGGCTTGGAGCAACCTGCTCTAGTGGAAGGTGTCCCTGCCCATGGCAGGGGTTGGAGCTGGATGAGCTTTAAGCTCCCTTCAACACAAACCACTCTGGGAGTCTGTAACTGCAATAGTGTATTATTGATTTGTTTGTTCTCCCTATGCAGAAATTGGCTCATGATTTGGTCTTAAAAGTTCACTTAGAAAAACTAAAGCAATCTCGTAAAAGCTATTGAGTGACCTTTTTGCCAAACAGGAAGTCTAGCATGAATGTTCCTTCACAGAAATAATTCACACTAAAGGCCTAAGAATAATGTGCACAATATTAACAGAGGAGCCTCATTTTTCTCACAGATTTCTGTTCAAGGATTACAGTTCACAGGGGATGGTAATTTAAACAGGAGTGGAAAGGACAGTTCCACTAAGAGATAATTACAGAATAAAACAGGCTGTGAAGATTTTAGTCCACATGGGTTTGGGTGGTTTAGAACTGGTGCAGTTTCTGCATAGCAATGCAATTGCTTCTTAATAGCAACGTTTTGATAGACATCAGTATTTAAGTTGCCTTTGTCCTGGCAATATACCTTAGTAACACTTACTTTCTATCTTTGAAAATTTCAGTGGTGAATCTGTGTTAGTTAGTAAAAGATAAATGTAAAAGTCTGTCTTTTGTATATTTGTCTTTTGGTTTGTAGAGGATGATTTGGAAACCTTGGATTATGAAATACCAATATGAATGGAATAGATTAACATCTGACACAGCTCAACATTTGAGACAATGGTTTATTTTTGCTACTTTAATCACAGTTTTTTACTAATATTTTAAATACTGTCTGGAAATACTATAAAGACATGATGGTGAATACTTCTTACTGACTGTTTTAGACTGTTGCTATGTAGTTGGAACTTTATGCTCAGGCTTTACAACCTACTGCGATGCTGTTGCCTGACATAGAAGTTGTTCTGCTGCGTTTGAGCCAAGAGCTTTGTAAGAGGCAGCACCGCTGATGCTATCCTTACCCAAAATCATTGGCTGGTGAAGCCTTCAGGATAATCACAGAATCAACCAGGTTGGAAAAGACCTTTAAGCTCATCAAGTCCAACCGTTCCCAGCAGTGCCAAGGCCACCACTAACCCCTGGCACTGAGGCCTCGTCTCCCTGGGCTGTGAACACTTGCAGGGACGGTGACTCCAGCCCTGCCCTGGGCAGCCTGTTCCAATGCCTGAGCACCCTCTGGGCAAGGAATTGTTCCTCAGCTCCAGCTCAACCTGCCCTAGGGCAGCTTGAGGCTGTTTCCTCTTGTCTCATCCCTTGTTACCTGGGAGAAGAGACCGACACCACCTCACTACACTTTCCTGTCAGGCAGTTGTAGAGAGCGATAAGGTCTTCCCTGAGCCTTCTCTTCTCCAGACTAAACCCCCCAGGTCCCTCAGCTGTTCCTACCTAGACTGAGCCTTTTCCCCTCTAAAGCTCAGGCCTAATTGGGTGTTTAATTGGGAGTGGAAGCAGCGAATTGCTGTGTGATGCAGTTAATGTGGCGTGTCTTGTGTGGTGGAAGGAGTCGGGGTCTCCCATGTCTGGAGTTTCTGACAAGTTCTATAACATTTTTTATCAAAGAAATAAGAAGAATTGTGAGGGAAACAGGGAATCAAATTTAGAAATCAATAAGAAAAAACACACAGCTAAAGCAGTTTAAGTTTTGGGACCTTGTCTTTTAAATGATGTTTCATGTTTGATTAGTTTCCTATTTATTAAAAGAAATGAGGAGGTAACCTGGTTTTCTTTTTTCCTGTAATACTAAGAAGTATATATATATATATACAATTCTTTTCAGTATAAAGACAAAATAACATAACAATAGATTTGAAATCTTAGCAAAAAAATTAGATTTCAAATGCAAAATAACTGTATTCTCAAAACTCTATTCTTAGAACGTCTACTAATAGTATCAGCATTTTCAATACTAAAAAGCAGCTAAAACTCCTTTAAAGTACAGAAAGTACAAGTGTGTTTTTGTCTCCTTCTACACTGTCTATGGCTTTTGTGCTACATATTAATATTCTACAAAGTCATCTTTAATTACACTGATTGTTTCTGCATTGTAGCTTCTCATCTGTGCTACACTTGACATTAGAGGCTGCAGTTGGGTAGTCAGTAAGGCAACTTAATCCCTCCTCTCAGATGCTGTTTCACTGCAGTTTAAAGGATAGAAACAGCTCTGAATGTTCTGTTGTTAATGCTGCTGTGTTCAAAATTGAATCATCATTAAAAAGAAACCAAGTCACTTATGGAGAAGTTCAGGTTTTCCCTTTAAATCACTGATTCGTCCTGTAAGGGAATTCGTTATGTTTTCCTTAAGTCTCCCCTACCTACTACATGGTTGAAAGAGCTTAAGCCTGAGGAGGGTCCAGAGCGGGAGCCTGTTGTTAAAGCAGCCAGTGGAACACACAGCACGTCAAACAGAACAATCCTCCTGGTATGACCTGGACATTTACCAACAGCTTCCAAGACCCAGTGCCCTCAAACACACTCAGGTTTTCAGTTAAACAGTTTAACCTGAGCTTTAATATCTGTTCCTAAAAGGTGTTTTGTCCTAAAGAGAAACCACATAACTCCATGTTGCATTTCTCATGCAGACCCTCTGCAAAGGTGAGGTGTGCATAGTTAAATCAAGGTTTAGGAGTAGTTTTAGCACCCTTACTAATGTGACTTGAGGAGGAGCAGGAGCTCCTACAAGGCAGTCAGTCTTAGTGGCAGTTTATCAGTGAATTTCTCTTTTATCCCTTCTGGCTACTTATCTTGTCTCAGTAATTCCGTTTTGTCGCAGTGCCCCTGTTTTGCACTCTCTTCTTGCCTGCAGCATATATTCTCCTAATCCGTCAGAAAGCTGAGCTGAGTTTTGCTAAAGCTACCCCTGGAAACCTTGCTTCAGGCAACTGCCCAGCACTGATTGCTCCAGGCCACATGGTTACTCTGGTGGGACCCAAGAGCTAGACCTGCCTGCTATTCTGTTAGCCTGCTATTCTGTTAGCCTGTTGATAGCGAAAGCCTTGAAATCTGCATTTCTGGAGTCAGTTCATTTGCAGGGAGTGAAAGAGGTAGGAACTGGAAGGTTCCTTCACTTTAAATCTTGTGACTGATTCAGTCAGATTTAAATTGATTTAAATCTTTAAGTCTTTTAATCAAGGTTTTTAAACAACTTCCAATTGGATTTTTTTTAGCTAATGAAATAAGAACAGTTTTCCTGATGCAAATGTGCTGTGTTGTACCTTCCCAGGCTGCCCTGAGCAAGAAACTGCACAGGAGTGGCCTCAGAAAAGGGGAGGCAGGGTATAGGCTTTGGTCTGTGCCTGGTTCTTTTTGCTCTCCAGTGTCAAAATCACTTCCCAAGTCCAGTCACTCCTGCTATAAAAACAAGTCTGAAGTATGCTGAGTTGTTGGACAGAACATATTAAGTATTTCTAGCAATGGGACAATGAAGCTCAGACTCTGTAACACTTCCCATCCAGCAGCTACAGCAGTTGTACTGACCATACCCATCTACTGTTGATCTGAAAACACGGAAACAGGGCTCTGCTGACTTTAGCAAAGTTAAATTTACCTGCTGTTTTGAAGCTGTGTTTGTGCTGCTGAAAAATCCAGGCTACCAACTGATCCTTCATTAGTGAATAAAGCATTAGTATCGCTCCGGAAAAGAAGTGGGAATATGAGGATTTTAACCTACCTGTAGATAATACACGCACTGTTCCTGCATGTGTCGCAATTAGCCGTGTCCTGACCAGTCCGATACGAAAGCCTACAAAGACAAGAACACGAGTTCATTAAAGAGTAATTTGGTTTAACATGGTTTTACCTTCTATGATGCTTTTCCTAGAAATCAGGGCTTCTTTTGGGTTTAAACATAAATATTGAATGCAAAAATGGAACCATCAGGAAACCTGGATCAATATTCAGCATATTCAAGTTCACTGAGCAATGGCAGGATGAAGTAATTTGGAAAATGAGTCTTGAGTAACTGCAAGGAGAAAATAAAAGCATTTAGTTTACAAAAGGGTAACAGAAATAAAAGGGAAAACGACAAAGGAACTAAGTGATGTGAAGCTCTTCTTGCATAAAGCTGCTGTGAACCAAGGTGATGAACCATAACTGTAAACAGGCTGGTTTGTTTTCTCTCTGCTTTCTCAAATCCCTGAGGCTTTTCCCAGTTACTGGTGGATGTATGGAACATAATACTGAAAAATGGCATCTATTTAGAAATTCAGTGCCTCAGCAATGAGGTATGAAGATGTGTTGTAGGGATGTTTGTGTCTTAAAAGGAAGAAAATACCATTTAAATCACACTTTCTGTACTCATGTAGCCTACGGCTGTTCTTTGGCACACTTTGGTTTGAAGTCTGCTAGAGCAGTGTCTTAATTTCCTTATGTATTGTCTCTGAGCTGGTCAGTTTGAATTAAAAAGGGGTTTTAAGGTATGCAAGAACTTTTTTGTGCATAGAAAATTCATCAAAATAAATCCCAGAATCCCAGACTGGTTTGTGTTGGAAGGGACCTTAAAGCTCCTCCAGCTCCAACCCCTGCCACGGGCAGGGACACCTTCCACTAGAGCAGGTTGCTCCAAGCCCCTGTGCCCAACCTGGCCTTGAACACTGCCAGGGATGGGGCAGCCACAGCTTCTCTGGGCACCCTGTGCCAGCGCCTCAGCACCCTCACAGGGAAGAGCTTCTGCCTCAGAGCTCATCTCAATCTCCCCTCTGGCAGGTTCAAGCCATTCCCCTTGGTAAATCAGAGCTGCTGGGACAACTCTGTAGTGGTGAGCATATCCCAGTGATAGCCCACTCAGCCTGATGCAGAACTTCACAAGGAGTCATATGGTATTAAACACCCAAAGAAACACGTTTCAGTATTAAAAATCATACAGGTTTGTTTCTGAACTTTGGGTGATGAGCTCTAGTGTGAGGCATCCCTTCCCACGATAGGGGACTGGAACTGGATGATCTTAAGGTCCCTTCCAACCTAAACCATCCTATGATTCTATGATTTTATGCTACACAGAAGCATGTGTATCATCGCTGCTTTAGTTACCAACCAGATCCCACCAGCACCGTGTCCATCTTACAAAAACAGTGTTTTAGTTGGGATAAACTCCCCCAATGTGGTTGGTTACTCGGCATAAGTCATGCTCTGGTTGGTGTTTATGTGGATGTACAGGTACAGTCGTAAACTGTAGTCCTGCTTCTGTAACTTGCAGTGCTTTTAATATATTAACAATAGGGCAGCAGATAAGCTTAGTCGTCTTCCTAAAACTTGAGTTTTCAGTATTGTATTTATATTCCTAATGCATGATGATCTCCAAGTGCACAATAACTCCAGACTTCCAAGTACTTAGAAACGTATTTCCTAGTTGATGGTATAAGGAAGACTCATTAAGCTGATGAAAATGGTCCTTTGATATAAATACTTAAATTATATGATTTTTGGATCATCAGTTTGAAATCCTGGTTTCTCAACTGACCACTTGGTTTTAGCACCGGTGCCATTCCCAAGCTTTACTATTTGCTGTGATACATCTATTTTTTCCTGGTTGGATGTAATTTATGATAAACTTAAAGCATCAGTTTGCTTATTGAATATTCTTAGCTTTTCAGACATGATATTCTTTTCAAGCCATGGCTTTAGGAGTGTTGCCTTCTCTGAACCATCCTATCAGTCAGACCTCTTTGTGAGCCCCAAGAACACTGCAAGGTATCACAGTGCTTGGTTTCCATACAGCGGTTTGACAGCTCGTAGCCAGGACTGTGTATGTGACAGTTAGTACAGTATAAATTCAATTATTTCTATATAAATTAAACTCTTCATGAAACAATTCCTTTGTTGATACCCCAGGGCTTTGGACTCTCACACTCCTGTTTTCACATCTACATAAACACATGCACAGAATTCATCTGCTTGATGCCAGCAAGGATTTCACTATTGTCATGTTTCCATGTACATCTTAGCAGCGAGGTTGATTTGCAGTGCAGACCTACTGAAGAATAGAGCTTCCTACCAGTGTAAACTACTAGAACCAGTTTGTGAGCACACTCTGGGTACCAGGTTCAGGAAAGCAGAGTTCTGGGTGGTTATTCTTTCCTTGTGAGGTGGAGTATTTTGAATAAGCTACATTTTCCTTCCCCTTAAAAATGGTTTTAGGGGTATTCCAGTGCAGAAGAGCTCAGGTTAGAGACCATTCTTCATTGCTAAACCAGTTGTTACTTTCAGTAAGAACAAAACCTGCAAAATGTGATGTTATTCACAAAGCAAAGATACTTACAGAAGAGTTATATTCTTTTTAGAGAAATGAAAGTTGGGTTTGGTCTGGTTCAGATCCAAAGTGGAGTTATTTCACGTTGCACTGAGATGCCTGGGAGCCAGCAGTTCCCCCCAGGCTATGCATCCCATGGGCAATGTACTTCACATAAAAATCATCTCGGCATTAAGCTTTGCAGCTCATTTTACCAATCTCAACATCTTGATTTTGGGAATGCCTCATCAGTTTAAGTAGTGTTACACTTTGTAACTTGCTTCAGCCTCTCCCTTTTTAACTCCATTCTTTGAGAAGGTTGAAGCTGATCACCACAAGGTTGTGCTGACCCATATGGTGTGCAAATTGGGGCACCTGTGCTCCACTGCTTTGGTGTGTGGATGTGTCCGTGATGCCTCACTGTTCCCAAGGAAGACTAATATCCATCAGCCTTGAAGTGACATGGAGACCTAGTTAGGTTTTTGGTACTCGGGTGTGACCAAAAAAGGTGCACATTGAATGAGAGGTGGTTGATTTTGCCCTTCTGGTTGTCATCTTGGTCTCCTGGCCTCATCCTGGCTCTACCTGCGTGCTGTGCTCCCTGGGTGTTCCTGAGGGCTCTCAATGCAGAGGTTTGCATGTTCATGCTGCAGCAGGGACAGCTTGCTTCAGCTCTCCTAAAACGGGCAGGGTTTGGAAATCACAAAAGTAGCCTTTTTTGCCTTTGCATCTGTGAAACTGTCAGACCAGCAGTGGGGCACCAGGGCCGGGAAAGGTGCACTGAGCTTGAAAGGGAAGAGCAAAGGCCTGTCCTGGACAGGACGCATCTGCTGATATAAAGATTTGAGGTGCAGTTTGAAGACAGCACTTGTCAATTTGTCTTCTAACACAAGTTCATTCCTGATGTTTTAGTTCATACTGGGAAAAATACTTCTCTCATGGATGCTGAAGGAAATGTTTTGGTTTAAGTAGGCTCCTTTCTGGCTAGTACCTGTACTACCTTATATTTGTTTCCTCCAAAACGATAAAGAACATAGCGTATGAGAGAGATATATATATATATACACACACGCACACATATATATGGGGGGGGTGTTTAATCCTATCAGTACAGCAAAGTCAACACAGCACTATTCATTCCTAGTTTGATGGGATGCATGCTGATCTACAAGGAAGGAACTGAATGCATATATTTGTTTAATGAGCATCCCTGGTATTCATAATATTACTGTACTTCCTTCTACTTAATGTGTTTGGATGTACACTAAAAGCAGTCATTACTCCAATAGCTACATTCTTTGATACCTTACATCTTTCATCTTCGTTTCATAGGGGTGCACACAGATGGGCATGGTTAACCTCCTGTGTGATGTGGTGCTGGAGAAGGACTGAATTTGGGATAGCCGTGTTGCTGTGGCTGCATCCACCTGGTTCAGTCACCTTGGGAATGATAGCTCTATACTCAGTTTTCCACACATGCTTGTGATCTCCATTACGTCTTATTTTCAGGAGGCTTTCATTTTCTTGCCTTTCTTTCAGCATTCTTGGCACAAACAGAGCTTAACCTCAATTAACACTTCCAAGTATTAAAATACTATAATGAAGAGCCCCTGTATTGCATGGACTGGCAATAACTAATACTAGGCTGCAGTTTTCAGGCAGCCTGAGGGAATGACACCCTCAGGATCCCTGTGAAATGCAGAATTCCTGAACCTGCTTAAGGCTTTTCTTGAAAATACCAACTGTAACATCACAATCTTGGCATTTGAGTGGGGTTTTTGCTTGTTCAAATTGGAGACCCCATTTGGCTGAGAGGGGGAAGCTCAGATCTGGATATGCTGATTTTTCCCTATTGTTCAGTTGGTGGCTAGAGAAGAGGCACTAATTCAAGTATCCTGGACATAGAATCCTGGAATGGTTTGGGTTGAAGGGACCTTAAAGCTCCTCCAGCTCCAACCCCTGCCACGGGCAGGGACACCTTCCACTAGAGCAGGTTGCTCCAAGCCCCTGTGTCCAACCTGGCCTTGACATTCCAGGGATTATAAAGCAATTTGGAGTGTTAGGTCTGTTCCATCTGGATGTCTTCTCCTATCTGCTGAGATGTAGGGAATACTTAGTATCAGCTGAGTGACTTAATGGCACGATGTTCCTCAAGTGGCTGTGCTTCACAGCGCCTTTATACGCTGATGGGTGTGCTCTTTCGCGGATATTGATGTCCATCACACTTCTGATGTATCCACCACCAAGAGCATAAACAGACTTCAAGATTCTTCTTTTTATTGATGTTTTTATTAAAATACAGTGAAACAAATTATCTTAAGCAGGCAGTGGGCCTTTGAAGTGGTTTTGAAGCGACAGTTCTGACTGTGCTGAATAGCTGAAGACGTGTAGGCCATGGTTCTCCCTATGCCTTTGTATAAATGGGTGTTGTATCTCCATGCACAGCCTGCTCTTGCTGGGACTACTGGTAGTACAGCTAAACACACTCATGTTATCTGTCTTTACAGAGTAACGGT